CAACAACAACAAAAAAAAAAAACCTTCAGAAATTTTGCAAAACCCGATTCTTAAATTCAATATGAAGACCCACAGTTGCAAATATCTATAGGAGGTGCATGTTCTCATCTGCAGATGTTCCAGGTTAAACATCTGCTCAGGGTAACTAAGATGGCACAACTGGTGGGAGGCTACTTAATACAGCCACCATCATTTTAATTTTACTAGTAGCAAATGCACTGATGGTTTCTCAGGGGACACTGTAATGTCCAGGGACTCCTGAAGCACCCAGGACAATCTACTTAAACATAACCATCTGTTAGAATGACATAAAAAACATCCCCTTTGCATTAGTCTAGAACTTAAATGGATGGCCATGATAATAAACTCATAAAGTAATTCAACAATAAAAGAATTCATCAATAAAAAACTTTAGTACAACTTGACAAAACTCTTCCCATTGTAGTTAAATGGAAACCCAAATGATTTCAGACCTATCATATATATTCTTCTTACTCTCCAAATCATCTCTGTTAAGAAGTCATATTATGGTTCGATATGAAAATATATTTTCAGATTATATCTGTTGCTAATTTTAGTAATAATACTAGAACGTGACTTGGGAATGTCCCAGTGGGTAAAGAACTTGCTGCACAAGTGTGAGACTTCACACTTCACACTTCAACATCCACAGGAATGCCAGATAGATGTGGCAGCCCTCCTGTAATTCCAACCTTAGAAGGCAGAGACTAGGGATCCCCAGAACAACCTAGGTAGCTAGAGAAGCCTTCAGGGCATGCGCCAGGCTGTGCCTCAATGAATAAGACAGAATGATGAAGGAAGACTCTTGACATGAGCCTTCATCTAAGTTTTGTGATGGTCAGTGTTAACTGTCAACTTGACAAAGACTAGGAGCTAGGCATCTGTAGATGTTTGTACATTTTTTTAATTGGGTTAACTGAGTTGGGAAGGCCCGCCCTGTGAGTGCCACCATTTCACTAAATGTAAAGTGGAGAGGAAGCTTAGCAGCAAGCATGCCCTAAGTCATTGCTCTCTGCTCTTGACCATAGCTGTAATATGATCAGGTACTTCAAGTTCAGGCTGCATTAATTCCCCTGGAGTGATGGACTGCAGTCTGGAATTGTGAGCCAAATAAACTCTTAAGTTTCTCTCTTAAATCACTTTCACCAGGGTATTTTTCACAGCAACTGGAAAAGAAACTAAGACACACGGTGACCTTATACAAGTTTTCACATACATCTAAAGCACAGCGACTAACAATTCCTTGTCACTATTCATCAGTCTTACAAACAAAATGATCACGCCATGGTTCATCATGCTGGCAACATTTAAAACTAAAATTAGAATTCCACTATTACTTTACTATAACTCAAAATTCTAATACCACACTGCTTTCACTACTTTCCCTTTCTATCACAATTAAAACTTCAAGCTCTTGGTTGAACTGTAAGACTGTCTGCACTTAATGCAACTGCATCCAATGTTTTTCTGTAGGCAATGCTTCATTTAAAAAGCCTACTGACAATTCAGGAGGCAAAGGCAGGTGGATCAATGGAGTTTGAGGCCAGCCTGGTCTACAGAGCTAGTTCCAAGACAGCCAAGGCTACACAGAGAAACCCTGTCTCCTGCCCCCCCAATAGGAAAATTTAAAAATAAAATTAAAATAAAAGCCTATTGACATAAAGCCCTGTTTTGAATAGTAATATACTTAATAGCATTCTATTAAGATTAGTTACTAATAAATATGAGGACAAAAATAGTCATAACTTTGCAGTTTTAATATTTTTAAGCCATTCCTATTTGAAAATTAATCCCTGCTGCCTGCTAATACTATAAATGTTGATTCAAAACAGCAAATAAAAAACCAGAGATAATAGAGATTTAAAACAGCTTTCTAGAAAAAGCTTTTCCAATATTTAAAAATATAACTTATTTAAAAATAACTTCAGGGGTAAATAATCTGTGTTTCCACTTAGTAGACTATTTATAAATACTATACATGTCAAGAGAGAGGACATGTTATTTTTTAAATCTGTAGGTCAGTTTGTTGGAACAGTAACATAAAAAACTTTCTTCCTAACTTTTTTATTTAAAAAATTTATTTTTCATCTTACATACTAACCCCAGTTCTCCCTCCCCTTCTCCTGCCCCCTTGCCTCCCCATCTTTCCACTGCCCATCTACTCCTCAGAGTAAGAGCATCCCATGTCCCACTGTCTGTGAAATCAGGTAAAGAGCTCCTTCTCTCTGACAAACCTGCTATTAGCAATCTATCTTTCTGATTTACGCTAAACTCGTTAGATATTCAAATATGAACTTATAAACATACTTCTGCCTTCTCTGCCATCCTCAACTATCTGTTTAACTGCACATAAGAATAGAAGACAGAAGAGAGAAAGATTGGGAAAGAGAGAGAGAGCATAAAAGAGGGAGACATTATTGGTTTGAAGAGAAAACTGAACCTAAAGAAAGGTCTAGAGACCTACACGACTGCCGCCAACTAATAATTTGAGCAAAAGTGGAAAGGCTACCATAAATGCCCTTCCCGGATAGTGAGATCAACAACTAACTTATTATCCACCATCATGGAGCCCTCATCTAGTACCTGTTGGAAACAGAAGCAATCTCCCATACCTAAACATTGAGTCGAACTAGAATCCAGATGCAGAGGGAGAGGACAAGACCAGGTTGCAGAAACACATAGAGACAGCTGACCTGAACAAGGAGGAGCTAATGGGCCCCCAGACTGATAGCTGGGAATCCAGCATGGGACTGACTCAGGCCCCCCTGAATATGGGTCTCAGCCAGAAGGACTGAGCAGTCTAAGAAACCTCAGACAGTGGAACCAGGATGTATTCCTGGTGCATAAAAGGACCTTGCAGACACATCCCCCATGGAGGGATAACTGCCTTAACCTAGAGACAGAAGTCCTAGTCCCTACTTCAAATGACTTGACAGATATACATGACCCCAACAGGATGGCATAGCCCTACATGTGGAATTGGGGTGGGGGGATGAGAGGGGAGGGTGTCAGGGTGCATGTGAGGGGGCAGAGAGAGGGTAAGAGGAAGGGAGGGAGAGGGAACTGGGATCGACATGTAAAATAATAAAAAAAAAAAAAAAGAAAGAAAGAAAAGAAAAAAAGGAAGAAAGAAAAAAGAAACAGCCCTTATTAAATGAACCAAAGGAAGGTAACTACATGAAGGCATAACACCACAGTCTAAACACAAGATTGTTTTTTACCTTTCTGCATATTTATTCTAGAAAAAAAGCTTTCGAGAATTCAAGGCAAATTTTTATGTCATAGGGCTGCAAAATGAGATCATACTTAGGCCAACGAAACAGCACACTCTTTAGATAAACAGCGGTTAACAGTCACTCCTTGGAATATTCTCCATGTGGAAAATAGCCAGCCCCTGCTATTTACTTGGGAGCCCCCAACTTCATGATGGCTTCCTCTGTTATTTTCCATCTTGGTTACTGCTGCTACACTGGGTGCTCAGCTGTTAAGACCATAGGCAAGTGTTCAAAATGAAGGCACTGACTACCTAGGGCACGGCAGGCATGAACCTACCAGGGAATTTTACTTAAAGTTTAAAACAGTTTCTTTTAACTCGAAATAAAATTTGTTATTTTGGTATGGTCCTTTCAAGCCCTTGATGAGTTAGTCTTGTAATGAATCAAGATGACAATTTAATGTTTAATGAGTATAATTGCTTGCCTTTTGATCCCCTTTATGGCATCTGGTTCATAGTTGATGTGAACAAATAAGCAACAAGCCTTTGTGTAGATAACAACATTACTTCTTGTGATGTCATAGGCCATAAATTATTCTAAGATGTTCATTTAGCAAGAGAGCCAATGTATTTTATTGATAAACAAAGCAAGAGGAAGAGCTGGGCTGTAGTCTTCCCAGGGAAAATGTGATACAAAGATGCTTGATGGGAGGTGTCCTTTGGTGCAGTTCTGTAAATGCCTGTGGTTTGGAGGTTCAGGAAAGAAAACAAATTAGCTAGGCACACTGACCTCGGAGAAGCCCCTCCTTCCTTGCATCCCTTGGATCAGGTGCCAGGCTGACCTTCCTCCAGTAAAATTGCTTCTCCTCTGTTCTTCCAGGTTTCTTAAATAATCTACATAATGGCCACAAGGTCCTCAGGGAATATCTTTTCTCACACTGCCTGATGTATACTAAGAACCGAGTACTGATTAAGTAAGTCAGGTTTTTTTTTTTCCAGCTAAAACTGTCACAGTAAAAAAACCAAAGACAGTCAAACAGTTCACTCAATCTAAGTAAGTGGATGGGAAAAGCAAACTCTAGTGGCATGTACCTTCACACATGGTCAGGAGATAAAGCCCTTCGTAAACAATGTTTGGTAGTAATCCATTTGTGAACATAACAACTAAAACACTTTATTACCCAACAAAATCTGCAGTGATTTCTAAAGGCCCTAAGACTTAAATCTCATTTTGTGAAAATGTGTTTCCACTTAAGAGGAAGAGGGCATCTGAAACCACTAAGTTCTATTTTCTCTCATTCCTATCACTTAAAAACAGCTGAACTGGTTTTTCTGTTACAAAAAAAAAAATCAACTAGTAGACTAAGTCTGAAAACAGACATCCACAATGGGAAAGCAATGAGAAGCAATACCCTACAAGGCAATTGTGAAACATGACACTCACAGTCCAGTGAATTTGGCTCTCAGTGCAGCATGAGAAACTTGTCTGTTTTTTAGTAGTGTTATTTTTATTTCCAGTGTATAGGCATTTTTGCCTGTCTTATGACAGGGCATCCATGTATCCAGAGCTCACAGAGGCTATACATAAGGAGCTTGGAATGCTCTGGCACTGAAGTTACAGAAAGTTGTCAGCCACTAAGTGGGTGCTGAAAACAGAACCCAGGGCCTGAGGAGAAGCTAGTACTCATAACCACTGAGCAATCTCTCCAGTCCCAAGAAAGATCAATTTTTAAAACATTAAATATTTTATGTTTGTTTTACTCACTTCAAAGCTTCTTCAAATTTATTGATCTTCCTCTGAGTATCTTCTTTCTCCTTATCAAGTTCACTCTGCAATTCATGAACCTGCCCAGAGAGAGAGAGAGAGAGAGAGAGAGAGAGAGAGAGAGAGCACATAAAACTCACTGGAAGGCAAGGATACTCAGATACAAAGAAACAACAATCTCAGGTCCACTGGGATATGAATTCAGACTTAGGTATTTCATGGTAGAAACCTGCTTAACCATAGAACATAGAATAATTGCAATCTTCTACACCCAATATAACTTTTCAATTCAGAGCTAATAGATTTATTTACAAATGAATTGCTTACATCAGCTTCAAAAATGCACCCATCACTTTGATTTTTACAAGATCATAGTTTTGGTCCGTCAGTCGTGGCACATGCCTTTAATCCCAGTATGTGGGAGGTAGAGACATCTCTGTGATTTCAAGGCCAACCTGGCCTATACAGCAAGTTCCAGGACAGTGAACCTGTTACACAAAGAAACCCTAAAACCCTAAAAACAATAAGTCAGTTTTGACAAAGGAAAGAATTTTCATAGGATTGAAAAGACAGAACAAATAACGTATCTGCATTAACAAGATGGAGAAGGGCTATTATGAAGTCTCCCATTGCTAAGCATGACTTGTACACCCATTGACCAAGTTTGGAAAAACTGCCCATCATGATCGCCTCCATAGCAACCTTTGAGTAGGTGGGATGACATCACTAATCACAAAGGCTAAAGGAAAATTCACACATTCAAATATGCAGTGTGACTACTACTCCATGTGGACATTCTAGGGACCTTATAGTACAGAAAAGAAAGTTTTGAGCAGCTGGACAGAAAAGGAAAAGTGAATGGCAGTGCAGTTGTGCCCACACAGCACTGAGGCTCCAGAGCCTCCTGAGTGCTAGGAAAACTGTCGAATCAGGGTTCGAAAGCCGCACTTCCAGACCTTGTAGACACCACCACAGCACTGAACATGAACCTAAAGGACAGTGAGCTGAAAGGAATGACAAGAATCATAGCACACACTGACACACACACGCATGCTAAAGCCATGTCACACATCACATTGGAATTTACCAAAAGTAGATAGATAGTAGATAGATAGTAGTAGTTAGTGGTAGTAGTACCCACATTTTTCTGGTCTTTCTTTCTTTCTTTTTTTTTTTTTTTTTTTTTTTTTGTTTGTTTTTTGTTTTTTGTTTTTCAAGACAGCATTTTTCTGTATTGTAACTAACTCTGCAGATCACATTGGTCTCAAACTCACAGAGATCTGCCTGCCTCTGCCTCCTGAGTTCTGGGATTAAAAGCATGTGCCACCAATGCCCAGCTGGCCTTTCTTTTTCCAATCATCTTGAAATTTTCCCTTTGTGTAAGGCAAATAAATTAGTAAAATCAACTATATTCTTGTAAGTAAAAGCAGGGAGGCCAGAGAGGCAGTTTTTCATGATAATAACAAAAAAGCCTTTACTAGTTTCTATGATGTAACCACTAAGTCAAGACAGAACTCAGAGGTAGAGGGGATAGCACATGCTGAGGAGGAGTGACCAGGAGACTTAGCAGCCACAGCGCCCCCTCCTGGCACTGCAATGGTCAACTTAAACTATCTCAGTTTTCTTATGCTGAGAAGAATCACTTCACCTTGAAAACCTTTACCACGAAATGTATTTTACTTTACATAGGAAAAATGAAAAGAATATTCACCATTTACCAGACTCAGATTTCAATTGCTGTCTCACTTCGTACAGGTTCCTGATATATATTAATTACAATGCTTGGCATATAGCGAGCATGTTAAATTGAAATATAAACAAACTATATTTTTTTGGAAACTCTAGCTATAATTATAGGGTGAGTTTAAGTGGTCATACCCCCACTTCTCAAATTATTTAGCATGCTGTGTCTCAATCCCCTCAATAAACGGGGATCAACAATAACCATATCAGAGTGCTCTGATAAAGGAGAATTACTTCAAGGAAAGCTCTTATGAATATGAGAACATAAGAAATTCACAGTCAGTGTTAAAAATTGTAATTACTATGTTAGATTGAACACTAAAGTATTTCTTGATTTCTCCAGGTCAATATGAGCAACAGTCAAAATGTGCACAGTACAAGGCTGTTTGCCCTCTCGGAAAGCAGACCCTGAAGGCCAAGTACCCTGAGTCCTTGTGAGAGCTCTGCATCAGTCTCACACAATCTCTACCTGGTTCCTGATTTGGACTTCCACTTCTCAATGCTGGTTGGTGTGTGACACATGCCCCTTGATAGAAATATTTCTAGACTACCACCTCATTTCTGAAGGAAGAGGGGGCAAGCTGGCATGGGAGTGTGCAGGGGGGCAGAAGGGCTCCCTTTAGGCAAGAATGCCTGGCTGCACAGCCCCTTAAGCTGTTTCTCACTTATACAACTAACCCAGAGCCCATCGTCCCCGACCCACACTAGAGCAGGCACTAAAGGAGGTTCTGGCTTTGCTTCCTCTCCGCAGAATATTTTAGTATTGCACCTTTATTTTTATCTATATTTCAAGTATTTGCCGGTAATACATAATTAAAAAACCATGCAAGTAATCAATGCATACTGACTTTGATGGAAGACTATACTGGGGGATATTATATAAATCATTTTTACATAAAACTAAGAAATAACATAAAGATGATGCTACTGCCCAATACCTACTTTCTATTTCTTTTTTCACTTTTATTTTTTTTATTTATTTATAGCACAGTATTGCTATGTTGCCCAAAGGTAATGTGAAGTAAGATTTACTTACCTTTCCTCAATATATAGTTAATACTGAGTTATAGTATTTAAAGTATTTAAGGTACCTCGTTTACTATCAAACATGAGAATGAACTATAAGTTTTTTCAGCAGCCATAAGCACATTTATTGAACATACAATAAATACGTTTTATACTCTCTTTCATCCCCTAAATATAAAGAATCAAAATGGAGCATAAATTGAGCATAGCAAAGAGCTCAGAGCCAGGGCTGATCTGAAAACCAACCAGCTGGACAACACTGCCTCTTAACTACACTCATCTCCATAGCCCAGTATTAAAAATATGGGTGATGTCATTGCATGACTTTACTAAGTACTGTAGCAGCACCATTTCATTTCTCTTTTTCTAACTTTTGGAAAGGCATCTAGCATTTTAAAGAAAACTGTCAGCAGCAGTTAAATACACAGTTTAATGCTTGACATATAAAGCTGCTGGGAACATTTTCAAATTATTGAAATATAATTATACAAAGTACACATGATGGCTAAGCATTGGAAAAACTGTACTTTGTTTAGAACTCACATTACATTTGTAAACAGTTAGGACAATGACTTTAGGAGGGAAGTCAAGTCTAGCATGGTTTTTTAGCCTGTGCATGTGAGCAGCTGCCTGTGTTGTCCTCTGGGTAAACAGCACCATCATTCTTTACTCCCAGAGCCTGTTTGGAAAACAAGCACTAGGTTATTTGTAGGAGGCAGGTGTTTCCTTACTAGTAAAATCATTTACTCTAGCCATTTCCTGATTTAACAGATTAGGACACTTCATCAAACAATGACGTTTAGTTTTATGGCCTATTATTTGTTTGATGTTCAAAGATCTGAAGACCAGGCAACAGCCACCAGAGATCAATAAAGACCATGAGATAATATGTGTGTGCTTAAATTAGGGACAGCATCTGATGCTGTTTCTTCCACCTCAAAGACTAGTAGGATGGTATGCTCCCATCCTGCTGCTTTCGCACTGGCATGAGGAAATAATGTCATTCAGATGGCATTTCCTCCTTCTGAACAGATATTCAGAACCACATTTTATATGGAAAGTTATTGAATGTGCACACCTGTAACACGCTCAAGACAAAAGCCCTATACATCCCATTTAGCTATCCAGTTACACAGTCCAGTCCATATGTGAGATTTATGTCAGCTCTGTGAGCTGTCAGAAGGATATTCCCTCAGGGGGGGTACAAGACATCAAATCTTCAAGGCTTGTGATCACAGCAGGTTTAATAAAGAAAGAATAACAGATGTCAATTTAAAAGGGTAGATTATAGAATTAATTGTGAAACAAAAAGTGACACACTGAGCAACCTTTTCTGTCAATATAAACAATATCTAACATTCGCAATATGAACATGTTTTTTCTTCTAGAGATTGTTGTTTTAAACAAGCCATGTTTACATTGAGAATAGCAAAGTGTACTCTGGTTATTTTATTTAAAAGTGAGGTCAGTTGATAGCTCTTGGAAAGGGAATAGCTGTAGTCACCATGCCTAATAAAGAGACTTTAGTCTCCTTTCAGGGGTGAGCTACAACAGGAACAGCAGCAGGTCACTGATAAAAATGGAAATATAACAGGCACTTGGACATTGCCATTCCTGACAAATGCAGTGACTCCCCACTTGAACTCACAATGTAACTGAAGGCAACATGAAAGCCTGACCTATCCATCTTCACTTTGCATCTGCCTCCTCTCCTTCAGGTCACTCACTCACCTACCAAGTCAGGGTCCTCATTCAAGGCAGATCTGTCTAGGAGCCAGTGCTACCTAGCTCACCTCAGTGCCTTTCAAACCAAAAGCACAAGGATAAGAGTGACTGAGGAGTCTCACTGTCAGCTTTTCATTGTCCTTGTTCCAGACCCCAGAAAAGAGCTAAACAGTCTCTAGTTATTGTTTTGAACCTTGGACTCCAAGAACAGCAGAGCCTAGCAGGAACCCTGGCGCAGGAACAAGCTTCTCCAAGGAGTCAGCTTGTTCCCTCAAGCAATAAAGACCTCTGCAGATCACCTTGCAGAACTAGAGCTGAGATGTTGACCACAGAGGGACCAGAACTGTTGAACTATACATCATACCACTTGCCCCCCCATCATAATTCTTTCTCTATTTAAACCTAAAGCTCATTTCTATTCCCAGAAGATGGGGTGGAGTCACTGAGCCATTTTTCCTGGTCCACTGATTAAGTTCCCTTTCTGTTTTTCACTACTGCCTGGCTCTGCAGTGTGCCATCTCCCAATGGCAAAGCCTTTCTTCTGTGGCTACTGCAATGTGGGTGTTTGTCCTAAGCTCCAGTTACAAAAACAATTCTCATATTTCTTTCCTGTAATCTATTCTCCAGGGAGAAAGGCTGGTAGCAGAATCTCAGTTTACTCTGTAGCTAAATACTCAAGAAAACAGTAGAAGAAAATGCTATCTGGGTTTGTCTCTTTATGGCACAGTTCTCAGATGTGCCTTGCTCCTAGACACCAGTGCATGCTGCTCCCAGGCCAGCAGATGGTAGGAGAACTGTCACAAACAGCAATGGCCAGTAGGCCAGAAAGGTGTTCACAGGGCACAATGGATAAACAGTACACCCAGACTAACCCAGAGCCTTACACACAGTGGAGAAGATTTCCAGGTTTGCTTGTTTGCATGTTTTGTAGTAAGCAAAAATATTTAGGGAACTGCATTTCTCAGCAATAGTAACTGAAATAAGTCAATAAAAACATTTCTTCTTCTTGCTCAGATACTATTTTTACATATAAAATATATCAAACACCTTACATTGAACAATAATGTGTAAGAAAATAATTACAATTATAAAAAGCACACAAGCACAGATTGATATACATCAGAAGAAATCCTTTTTTATAAATAATGACTACATTCTATCCTATACATCTCCGGGATGTGTTAAGCTCTTTGAGGGCAGAGTGCCTAACTATTCCCAGCCTCATCTTTTTATCTAATATGATGCCTTGTCCAATGTAAGCACTGAAAGGATATCTGTAGAGAAACTAGGTAGACAAAAAGATATGTTACAAAATGGATTGAAAATGCTGCAATACATACCAGGGTTAGCTTTAGTTTATATATTTTAATGGATGGGTAAACCTCGTTTTTATTGTATGCATATTATACACATGGATTCATTTGGCAAATATTAAAAGTAGTAACAAAACTATCAATAAAATCTTTGCTATTTCAACTACTTTCACTTTCCATATCTCCTAGAAAACCATTTCAGAACTGAAATGTCAGTCACAAATCTGTATACTGCCGCCTAAAGTATTAGTAACCTTTTAGTTACTACTGACAATAGAAATATTAAAATACATTGATGAAACTATGCGTGATTCTATATACTAAAAACCTATTAAGTTATAAGTAGTCAATACTTTCACTGATGTAGGGTTTTTAATTACATATGCAAAGTTTTCATTACATGGATGATACACACAAATGCAACATAAATCCCAATTACTTCAAACTTCTAGAAATAAAATAAAACATCAAAGTGTTTTTAAGAGCGGTTCTGTCAATGATACACTCCACTCACTCAACCAAAAATAAAACTAAAGCTTTAATGTTGGTGTGATTAGTAATTGAACCAAAGAAGCTGTTCATAAACATGAAAACTTTGGTTATATTGGTTAGCAGCAATTAAATTAGAAACAATTCTTTAAAGAATGAAATAAATATATTAGTTTAATAAATCAGCTCTCCTTAACTGCTTAAGTTGTTATTTTAAATATATCAAACATATTACCTTTTTCTCATAGGTGTGTTTTAAATGGTTCCTCTCCATGTGAAACTTATTTTCTTGATCCTGTGAATGATAAATGTTTATTTCAGTATGTTTAATATTATCTTTAAAGTCAATAAAATTAGTGACTCAATAAAAGCAATGAAAGCACTTGATGTCAAACTTCAGGGTGCTGCTTGGCATTTATCACTGAGAGCCCTAAGCACTAATTCTCTAAGTCACAAAACGGACATCAGCAACTACAATTCAAGACATAAAACCTCAGCTGTATGAAGATGCTGATGTCCTTAAGGACTAGGGTCACTGTGACCTTTAAGATAAGATCAGGAATGAGCAACTATGTCAAGATGGCAGTGACAATTATGAAGTTACTTGATATCCTCATTTTTGATGCTCTTTGAGAGAAAATTAACACTATGAGAAAAAGAGAAACGGGGAAGGAAAGACAATAGAGTTTGAGAACTTAAGAGGGAGAATTTTTCTAAAATAATATACTTATATGAGAGATTTTTCTACATCAAACAAAAATTTAATAGGATACCACACTAATAAGATGTAGAAAGACGAGCAAATAATATATACACATTTATATAATTTAATATATCCTGGATTCACACCAGTGATAATGTACATTATTGACAACAGCATACAAAGTAATAAACATTATAACTTAATTTTTAAAATATTTAACATAGGGGCTAGAAAGATGGCTCAGCAGTGATGAGTACTAGCTGCTCTTCCAGAAGACCCAATTGAATTCTCAGTACCCACATGTCAGCTCACAACTGTCTGTAACTCCAGTTCCAGGGGATCCAACACCCTCACACAGACACACATACAGGCAAAGCACCAATGCACACAAAATAAATCAATAAATCTTTTAACATTAATTAACATATTAATTTATATTTAATACATTCTATATCATTTAACATATATTTAATACATTATGTTTAATACATTTTGATAATTTTATTTTAAATTGCCATAAAACATACTAGATATCATAACATTTTACACAAAGTATTTTAGTAGACGATGCTCCTCCCCATCCCCCATTCCTCTGCTACTCATCGTCCCCGCTGTTCTCACGCCTGATATCTTCTCCTCTTCCATGTCCCATGTGCCCTTTTCCCAACCCCATCTACCTCTACCACGTCTTCATCTCCTTTCTTGTTTTTTGTTTTTGTTTTTGTTTTTTTTTTTTGTTTTGTTTTGTTTTGGTTTTACCCACATTCCTGCTCACACAGATGTAAACATAATGGGTTAAGAACTACATTCATATCTGAGAAAACATCCAGGATTTATATTTATACATTTGAGTCACCCTGCTTGGTATTAGAATTTCCAAACTCATTAATTTTCCTAAAAATTTCAAGATCTCATTCTTAAATCATTCAAGGTTTTATTTCTAAATTAACCACAAAAAAGAGAGACCTTTCAAATCAATTGTCTCTTATTCTCTATACATTAGCATCTTCCTCTGTGAGGTAAAATGCCAGGAATACAATCAGAAATGGCTATGTCCACAGGACTTTTTCTGTTACTTTTTCAATTGACTCTCATTTCTGAACACGGATCAAGAAAGTAAAGGGCTGGAACACGGATCTGGCTAACACAGACTCACTTTCGCTTGCTGTTTCCTCTGAAGCTCTGACTCCTGGACCTGCTGTTTCAATCGACAGATGTTCTGTTCTAACTCTTCAATCACACCAGATGTCTGTGAGGGGTGCAGAACAGAGAGCAGAGCATTGACTTTTTGTACCATTCCATACTTCTGGTTGACATAAAGCCTACCATTTTACCCCTGAAAGTTCAGTCAGAATTTAAGTTATCTATAAATCTGAATAAAAATATTTTAAATATAATAATAAACTTAAATCTACTTTAAGAATACTGCAAGAGAGACAGTGAGCTGAGGAGAACCTGAAATACCATTTGAAGCCAAAAATTATTATTTTGAAGTAAAAATGTAAATTATAATCTGCATAGTATCTAATGCTATGAAAATAGAACAGTGAATTAAAATTTTATAGAAATTTTTATAAGTTTATAAGAATAGAATAGAACTAACATTTCAAAGCAACAGCACTGTACATGCACAGTAGCCATCAGGAAGCTTTTCTTGGAATTCCTTCCTTCAAACCTCAGTGCTCAACAGGGCGGTGTAGAGCAGAACCGGCTTTTAGGTGCTGTGGGAGCTAGGAGACACTAGCGTTTCAATGTTCTAAAGTCTTGTGATTTCAAGAAGCAAATGTAGACGGGGCTAGTTTCAACTGGAAATGACTGGCTGCTCCATGGCGGCTCACAGCCCAACACTCGAGTAAACAGGGCCGCCAACAGGTACAATACCTTAGAAGCGGAAAGCGCGTGTTCTTGTTTTAGGAGGTTTATGTCGGAATCGTATTTGGTTTTTAATAATTTCACATTTTTCTCATAATCATTTGCAAGATGTTCTTTCTCTTTATGCAGTATATTACGCCTAAAACAGTAGGATAAAAAAAATAAAAAAAGGTTTTCTATATTTTTGGAGCCAATCTCTAAAACGGATATCTTACTCAACTAAACTCAAGTATATTATCTTTCAATATATGAAGTAGGTGTTTATATCTTCATTACTGGTTTCAAACATTGTGTCCTAAATTACTTTTAGAAATCTGTAAACAACCCTAAGGGTTACTGCACAAAGTCTGTGCACTCTAGAAGGCCATTTATAGTCAGTCAGGGCTGGTGCCCCACAGACAGCTGACTCAGCATTACCTTGTCTTTAGTTCCTGTAATTCACTACAGGTCATCTGGTAGCATCTCTCAAGATCCAGTTTTTCTTCAATCAATTTCTGCCTTTGTAAATTGCTGTTCTCTGCTTCCCCGGTCAGCTGCTGGACACGGTCCTCCAGTTCTTTGATCATGTGGTTCTGAAAGAACAAGTCATTAGGAAAGTCTCTAACTAGCTTTTCACTTGTGGGAGCCAGTAAGTACTCTGAAGAAACATATTGCCTATGAGAATAATAAGAACAAATATGTCATAATCAATATTAGCAAGAAAGAAATCTCTAAACCAAATCCTCTGAAAGTCACCCTTATACCATAAAATGACCAGCATGGTTATACATATCCAGACATTCACTCATTCATGAAATGTTAACCAAGGCTGACAATTTCTTATGGGAGCAAAGAAGACAGACAAGGCCCACTCCTCAGGCAGACCCCAAGTCCGCTGTGCCCCACATTATCGCTTAGATTTGTCCTTTTCTCTCACAGTTTAATAATGGCATTTCAAAATCAAATCCATGACCCTATATATTAATGCCAGAAATACCAGATAACATATTCATCATTAGCAAACTTAAGGGAATATTTTATCCCATAAATTCTTATTCCTTTCATCTGTAATGATTTTTCTATTTCATTTAAAGCAGTTCTCTATTTTTCTAAAGTATTCAAAAGTAACATTCAAATAAATTGCCTCTTTATTATTTGGTATTTAAGTTATTCTAAATTCATCACTTTGTCAAGGTTGCATTTAAAGCCCCCAAAAAGGTGTTTATGAGCTTCCAGATGCTTCATTCAAAACTGCTAAATCAGCATTAGCTGAGAGACAACTGGTTTCCATTTTAACAACTACACTTCTGTCGTTTCTTTTTCTAATGTTTTTCTCCAACCAAGAGTTAAGGTAAAGTTTAAACATTACTGTTAAAACCCAAACCCTTTATTCATTTCACCTTTTCTTCATTATAAAACTGAATAGACAGGCAAGTAAAATTTTGGTGCAACAACTTCCAAATATGTGGAATGAAAATCATTCTTTCTGCCTAAAAACAGCACATCAATGGCCACAGACATGTGGCTTCTTTTGAACCACTGCATCCCCTCTGCCTTTTTGCTGAGCTGAGCAGCCCCTTTAAGAAAATGGCCTCTGTTTCTAACATTCTCTAAACTACCCTGGCTTCCTACACAGTAACTGTGATACAAAATCAAGAAGGCCTCTTTTGATCTCCAAGGGGATCTGCAGTACTTTGTTTTGTGGACCAATGAAAAAGAGACAATAGGTAGGAAATGCAGAACTGCAACTACAGCTCAGTGACATCAGAGAGGCTCACTCTCCCTAACCTAAAGCAACACCTAAAAGCACAGAAATAAGTCTGAAAAAATAGCGGGAAGGTGTTAGGGGTTGCATAAGGCAGAATGGATGTAAGGAATACGAATGAAGAATCAAAAAAGATGAGGTAGCATTTTCTAACTTGTCCCCTTTTTACCCTAGAGATAGTTTCTTTCTTCCTTCCTTTCTTTTCTTTCTTTCCTTCTTTCTTTCTTTCTTTCTTTCTTTCTACCTACCTACCTTCCTTCCTTTCTTAATGTGGAAAATATTGGGGGAAGGGATTAAGGAAAGGGAAGAAAGAAGAGAAACAGAGGTAGGAGAGGCAGGAGAGACAGAGATCTGCCTGTCTCCTCAGAGAAATGACAGAAAAAAGAGAGCCTAGAGGTATTTTCTAATCTTGGAAGAAGAGGAGGATTGGACAATAAAACTTAGAGCAGTGGGTGGCCGTGGCAGCTGAGACTTAAAATAGCAAAACCTCTGAGAAAAACCCAAAACCCTGCACAAAGTGAGAGTTGGGTCTCTGTGTCTCCTAGTTAGAGAAAGGGGACACAAATTTCAAAGTTATGACAGATTACCCAGTTTAAAAGAAATAAAGGAGTGTTTAGAAAATAACCTAATTAGCAAAGCCATAAAACAAGACCAAGGGGCCAAATTGCTATAGATGAACCTACAGACTTTGGTGAAGGAGAAAGGGACTCTGTCAGCCTCTTTCTACAATATTAATATTGACTATAGTGAAGGAAAGAGAAAATGTCAGATGAAAGTAGAGAGTACTTTTTTTTTACTAAGAGAAAGAGAAAAAGATGAGGGTGAAAGATGCCCACTGTTTGAATGAACGAAGTGGTGAACATCGAAACAACATTGTGCTCTCAAATGCCCAGGGTCACTGAAGATTAATGATAGTGATAAAGTGAACTTGAAGTTTTAATTTGGGTACTGATCAACCATTAAAACTTTATGGAACCTAAAAAGCAAGATGTAGTCGCTGGCCACACCTGCTAAATATAGCCAGTGCTCAGAAGTGTCTCCTTGTCATTTTCCTACTGGATGACATTGTTTGAACTGGTGGTCATTTCCCTGGGCACCGACAGATTCTATACAATATTTATCCCTAGTGTACAAATGGACTTTGGGAGCCCATTCACATAGAGGGATACTCTCTTAGCCTAGAGGTCCCAGCCCCTGCTCCAAACGATGTGACAGACTTTGAAAACCCCCATGGAAGGCCTCACCCTCCCTGGGAAGCAGAAATGGGATGGAATAGGGAGCTGATGGGGGCCAGGGGAAGAGGGGAGGGAGAGGGAACTGGGATTGATACATAAAACAAGATTGTTACTCACTTAAATTAAAAAAATATATAGAAGGAAAAAATAAAAATAAAACAAGCAGAAAACGTCAAACAAACAAAAAAGATTCTGTAAGTCCTGACAATACTAACAAGGCCCCACATGGGATTTTAGTAAGCCTTAGGAAGCATCATTAACCTCTGTGAGGTTAGGGATGTACAAAGCGAGGAGTGGAGGACAAGGGACACAGTTCAGTGACAGTGCACTTGCCTATACTCAGATCCCAGCACAAGAGCAACAACAACAACAAAGGAAAAAAAGAAGAACACTTAGGACTGAAGATAGTGCTTTAGTATTTGTTTAAAAATAGAAAATTTTATCTATGAGACTCCAATTAGAAATTTACTGCCAATGTCAAAAGATATAAATTGCCTAGACAAAATAAATGGCCATAAAACAAAACAAGACTTTACAAAAAGCTAAAATGTTAAAAGCATAATTCACCAGAGGAGCTAATTCTCCCTGACAACATTGTCTTCCATCCTGGGCCAGGTCTTGAACTCTGCCTGGCTTAGTTATTAAATCAAGAGCTGCTCACAAGCTCTGGGTCGCACTGATGAATTCTGAATTCAGTCCTGCTCTTTCCATGATTCCCGCACTTATTATTTTGTTATTACCTAGAACAAAGTCTGAATGTGCATTTTAAAATGCAGCTCTCAGAATGCCAAAGTTCCAAAACCAGAACAGAATCTTTCTGACAACGACCTTTTAAATCAAAAGTGTACTTGTCTTTCCAAATAGATAAATATAAAAATTCTACTATGAAATAGAGTTACCATTTATATTATTTAACTAATAAAGAATACCAACAGGGGCAGAGCTGGATGTCCAACGATGTAAAAAATTTCTTAGTGTTATTAAACCTTACCCATAAATGTTTGAAATATAAAATTTGGTTAGGTATATTTTGTGAGAGAGAGAGAGAGAGAGAGAGAGAGAGAGAGAGAGAGAGGGAGAGAGAGAGAATGTATAAAGAAAAACCCAATATTTGATTTGGATACAAAAAAAGACGGCTGATTTTTAAAAATGGATCAAAGAGATAAATAAGCAACTTTAAATATTAGGAAGTAACCATAGAACTACAAATTAAAATGTGACATTTTCAAAGAAGGAATGTAAAGTGAGCTAGCCCTGAGTACTCAGGAGGAAGGGTTGACTCCTAAGCCCCATGTGGAAGTTACAAGCTATCACCACTTGGAACACGAATCACAAAAGAAGTGGATTCTTCAATACATGCATCTTAAAGGCAGGTTTCAAGACACGATCTCAGCCAACATGAAATCAATTTGCAAATCGTAACTTAAGTAAAATCAAGAAATTATATCAGCATGAATGGCAAACAATAAAAGTGACACTCTTGCTAGTAGGTAATTGTTTTTGTATGTGCTTATGTATGTTTTGTACAAAATTTGTATATTTAGTCCTTGGAAGAATTCTCATTTTAAAAAAAATTCATAAACCTATGTCTTAGAGCAGAAATTCTAAAAATACAAACTCTTGAAACCCTTTGATTCTTGGTAGATCAGCAAGATCAAATGTATTTTTAAATAACATGAAGACATTGATCTTTGTCTATGCAGTTCCTAGAGGTAACATTATATGAAATAATAGGATGACGCAAAAGTGAATAAAAACCCAGTCAACATCTATTAAGCCAGAGGTAAAAATTTACAAAAATTAAAAGCAATGGCATATGCCATTCAATTTCTTTTCTTTTGTAAAATGTAGCTTGTTTATATAACTTCATAATATAGGTACATATATAACATAAACATATTTATATTTAGTACTTAGACTACAAGTTATTAAAACACTTATGTTCACATAGTTTTAGTATTTTAAATGAATCATTGATTAAAGTTTTGTTAAAAAAAAAAATGGTAAAAACCCAAGTATGACAGCAAACATCCAGGATACAGAGGCAGTATATTTTCAAGTTTGATATCATGCTTGACTATGTTGAAATCTTCTCTCAAAAAGCTCCAAACAAGTAACCCAGCAGCACAAACAAACAGAAAACAACATGTGTCAGTCATCCTCTTATGATGACAAAAGGCACCAAATTTACCCTCTTTGTAAGCTAGTTTCTGTAACAAATAGAAGCATCAAAATAAGCACTGTCTTTCTCCTTTTTTAGATCCAATTATTTACTTTTTAGTATTCTCAGTCTTAAACATAATTTTTTACTATTCTGTGCTGCACCTCACCTCCAAAGAGATACTGAAGTAATGTGACTTTGTTTCTTTGTTTGCCTTGCACATTCTAGACAGATTGTTTACTATTACGCTCCATTAACAGATATAAGTATATTTTAATGGAAACAAAATATTTTTAAGTTTAGTGTGAATTTAGTGTGAATCACTTTGGGTTACAGAGGGTCCTGAGTCCAAAGACAGTTGGCCTCACAAAATGGTTATATGAAGACACAGGCACAGATCCACACAAGACCACCAGGTGACCACACAACTGTAACTAGAAGTCAAAGAATGTCAAAGACTGCCCCCACAGAAGCCAAAAGAGGCAAGAAAGGATCTTTCTCTTTCAGCATCTTCAAAGACAGCAGGTTCTGCTGACACTCCAATTTACCACTTGGCTGGGAACTGTTAAAGCAATCTATCTGTCACCTAAATCAGTCATTATGCAGTGCTAAGTAACTAATATACCTATTATACTGCAAGGGTTATGTCTGTGTGTTAATGACAATATGCAGCATCAGATTGACAATAGAAGCCTGGGCAGTCACATACAGTTTTACCAACATTAGTTTTATTTCTTTCTGGATTTTTTTTTTTTTTTTTTTTTTTTTTTTTTTGGTTTGTCCTGGACCTTGCTCTGTAGACCAGGCTGGCCTCAAACTCCTGTCTCTGCCTCCCAAGTTCTGGGATTAAAGGCATGCACCACCACTGCGTGGACAACATTAATATTATTACAGAGATACTTTTCTTATTTTTTCCTGTCTCTTCTACATGTTCAATAACAAGTATGCATAGGTATATTCCTTGTTTTTCTTTAATACCTAAATATGAGAGACAAGTGAAGACATTTTTATTTACTTTTATTGTGTGTTTGTTTTTACTAAGCAGAATGTATAAGTATATTATTGTGGCAAAATATTGATCAGTGCCTTTCTTGATAGAAGCAGTATTAACAGGACATATATGTATGTATGTGTGTATTATATATAACTTTTTATTTAGCTATAGGGAAAATTAAACTATATTTGTAGGAAAATGATTCTAAGTTGGAATTATTACATGAAATCAGACTCAAAAAGACAAATGCACCATGTTTTCTTTCTCATGTGCAGATCCTAGATTTTAGTGTGTGAATGTGGCAATGAGTACATGTATCCATGTGTGTGCATTTACATGTGTGTATGTACATGCTGCAGTTAGAAACATCAAGGAGAGAAGAGCTCTTGAGGGTGGAAAGAAAGAGGGGGAATGTAGTGAGATATTCACTTTGTCCTTACCTGTGGCAATGACCACGCCCATTGGGGGTGGAGACAGGGGAGATGTTACCTGGGGAAACTAGGTCTGAGGAGGGTTCCAGGAGTGCTCTCTTGCTTGTAGCACAGGAGAGCTTCTGGAGGCATCCTTGGGACCAGGAACCTGCTGGTGTTCATCTGTCTATGTGGTAAGTTTGGTTTTTTCTCCCTGAATAAACATCTATTCAGCCTATTTGTTTCTCCTGATCCTTATTAAACCACAATAGAGGAAGATGGAACACAGGTGTGATGAGGCCACAGGGGCTTTGGGAGAAGAAGGAAGGTGACAGCAAGAGGGAGACAAGGGATGCAGGAGAGGAGTAGGAAGGGGACAAATAAAAACAAAATCTGCATGAAATGCCATAATGAAATCCATTATCCATATGCTAGTTTAAACAATGAATGGAATAATGGCAACAGAGAAGCAGCTTTTCTTCAAATTGTGAGTCTGCATACCCTTTGAATTGAGAATAACTGGTTTAAGAGCTATGATTGCCACCACTACAACACTTCATAAGTTCTAGTCAACGTATAGCAATGAAGTAAAATAATGCTACATATGTGTAAACAGTTAAGATCTGTGACAAACAATTATAGCAAAAGTGTATCTTCTTAAGTTATTTATTTAGTGTGCCTGGTGTCTTGTCTGCATATATGTTTGTGCACCACATGTCTGCAGTGTCTGTGGAAGTATCTGACCATCTGAAACTGGAGTTACAGACAGTTGTGAGCTGCGGTATAGCTGCTGGTAACTTACACAGGTTCTCTGTATGAGCAACAAGTGTTCTTAACCATTGAGCCACCCCTCCAGCCCTGCAAAGTATGTAACTTTTAACAATACTGTCAAAGATATCATAACTGATATTCTAAAGAAAAGATATTCTCCAAACCCTGTTTCTTTATGACTGTGGAGAGCTGATTCTACATGGAGCCATCAAAACAAAGGGTTCAGGTAGGACCATTCTGCTCAACAAGGAAGAAAGACCTGCACATTGAACATCAAGAGTAACTTAAGCTACAGTAATGATGTCAGCAAAGCCAGAGAAACTAGCTAGCCATAAACAATGGAGACCTTCATTGGAGGGAAGTTGCATACACAACAGCCAAGACAGATTGAGAGACAGGAAGAATGACTCAAAAGTGAAACTGGAAAAACAAGGAAGTCATCCACATGAAAGCAATGACATTAGATTCCAATCTTTTACTAGTCACAAAAAAGAAGCAACCAGAGAGATTAAAGACTCACGTAAAAGCAAAACGTTAAAATTTTTAGTAAAGCATATAGGCGAATTATCCTGCACTCTCAGTTTTCCCTGCTTTCTTTGGGAGGTGGAGCAGTAGTGCTTTCCAGCCTGCTACCCTAAGAATTCAAAGGGTTCCAAGGACTTTGAGAACCATGTCCACCACCCTTAGCAAACTGTTGCAAATTCTGAGACTGTTTCCCCTCACCCTAAGCCTCACTAAAAGATAAGTCTGTGTTCTCTAAGGAGTTACAAGTCAGACAAGCCTGTGCTCCACAAGCTGGGAGAGACCATCCAGATCTGCTGTCTGCTCTTGCTTATTAGTCTCTTAGTTTAAAAAGTTGCATCGGGGCATCTTAACCACATGCAAATGGTGTTAGCATTATGATCAACATCCTTGTGCCCTCACCCTTGCCTCTTCTTACAGACCTAGCAAACTTGATATTGCAGACCCCTGAGCTGCCTAATGCCTCCACAGGTGCGTGGAACAACTCAGCTATGCTTCCCAGAGTCCTGGGCCTTCTTCTTGAACCTGTCAGATCACTTTAAACTTCTCCATTGCCTTTGCAGCACTGTTAAGATTTGAACTTCAATTGTTTGATCATGTTTTGAAAGCATGGGCTCCAGGTAGCTGTGCTGTTTCAGCAGACTTGAAGCCTTTAGGAGGTGGAACTTAATCTGATTGGAGTGAGCCGTTGAAGGTTAGTTTCTATATACTGGGTCTGTCAGTAATTTCTTTGCTTCTAGCTTGCCTCTGTCACATATTCACATTGCCACAAACTGTGCAGGCCTTCCCTGCCATCACAGACTCAGACCCTCTGAAGCAGTAAGCCAAAACTAACCTTTTTTTTTCTCTGCACTATTTCTTTAAGGTTCAAACTCCAAAACGTTCTGTTTACCTCTTGTGGGTTTTGCCCATCATTATTTCTGACTTTTTCATCTCCTTTTTGTCATTTTTTTTTTTTTACAAGAAATGGAGGCCAAAAATCCCATCTTCAGGCAAATATTACTTTCTTAAACTAAGTCTTTCTTTTTCCACTTGTATGACTCTATAATTCTTACATGCTGCATTATCAAAGACTCTAAATATTAAAAGCTTATTATGTAACTTCATTTATATATCAATTGAGTATTGCCAACAACTATTATCTTCTTACCACAGAAATGAGAAAGCTTAACATTCTAGGAGTTAAGAAGACACCAAACTGGTAAGGATTTGAGATTTCTGCAAGTGACATATGTATGTGTTGTCTCAGTCAAGATGTTCTAAGGAAATGTGTCAGAGCAGTGGCACTTTAATTTCCTTCACCAACTCTAAATAGCATCAAAAAAACACTCGTAACTTCAGTTTAAAAGATCTTAAAAAGAAAATAATTGTCTCTGAACTAAAAGTTAATGAGAAAAAGGACCTGTAACCACTTCTAGGAGATTAAGACACAGAGGTAGCATCGAACAATCCAGAGTCCGCCCTCTTGGTGAATGTCTAGGGCTGTCTGCTCTCACTGTATCAAGTAAGGAAGTAAAGCTTTTTCTTTAAATTTAGTAACAGATTTATATAAAATGTGCATCAGTGAAGGATAAGGACATGGAACATAAGACAGACTCAAACAGTGGAACAAACAAAAACACTTACTGTGGACTGTGTCTGCACCATGTAGTCACCCTCCATTTTATTCAGGCGCATGTTTGTGTCCTCCAGCAGTTCCTGAATAGTCTCAGTGTGTCGCTTTTGAAGCTCAAATTTTTCCTTTTCCATTTCTGCTACAGCATTGTGAAGCTGCATAATGAAGTCAAGAGTCTTTCACTACCATGGACTATGCTATTTTGAAATTCAAACACTGTTTTCCAATATGTCTATTTATATCTAGAAAGTGATCTAAACAAGAATCTAAAACTCACAAGTAAAAATACCATACAGAGAGCATACAATTTTTTTTCTGTTTTCCAGAACAGAAAATTTCAACCAATGGGCAAAAACTAAAGAATTTTCTGTCTTGAGTAGAAAGTAAGTATATCTGATTGATGACATATTTTTCAATTAAGCAATATTATTAGGAGCCTGAAAAATATACAAACAGAAATAGTAATAGTTTTATTGTTGGTCATTGTGAATAATGATTGTATTATTTCATTTGTACAATACAAATGTGAAAATGCTTCCTGACCTATGCAAATACCCAATAAGACACTTACTTGGCATTCCATAATCAATACAAAAAACAAATACAAGATCATGTTTATGAGTAGAATATGCAGCAAAGGTGATAACTAAGAGTTGTATATCATAAGTGTCATATATGAAAAGTTTCTACACCTTGATAAGCCTCTCTGCCAATGTAGCAATCCAAGTCAGAACAAATCAAACCAACAGAAAAAGGCCAAGTTTAATGGATACAATGCTCCCAGACAGCCTTTCAGCCCCCCAGAGAGGAGATGGAGGGCAGTTTAAATACCCTGTGGGAGTGGTCTTGAGCATCTATGGAGGAGGGGCAATCATGGTAGGCTTTCTGAGATGCAGCAGGGTTTGGAGGGAGATGGGGGGGGGCTTAGGTGGAATTTTCACCATAACACCCAAGACTCTTTGGGTAAATGGATGCCAGGGGTTGTGGCAAAGCTTCCACCTTAACAAGGTGGAACATGGCTGACTTCAGGAGCTTACCTTTTTTTCCCAATCATTATTCAGAGATTCTGTGCTTTGTTCACACATCTTCTTCAGCTCTGTTATCTGGTTTTCTTTAGTTTCTCTGATAACTTGACAGTCTCGTATAAGGATCTGAACTGTCAAAAATGATGAGAATATAGTTAAACCAGTTCTAGGAACCACATTAGACTTTGATGATTTCTAAATGTAATGATACATTTAATAGATAATTTTTCATTAAGTCTTACTTTTCTAAAATGCCTCTTATCTCTTGCTCTTTGGTCATTTCTATGACCATAGATAAGTGTGGTTAATTAGTCTTTATTCTCTCCCTAAACATTTAAACAGCATGCTAACCTCAGGCATTTCTCTTCTAATGTGGCCTCTGTCACTTTAAAGAGCCCACTCAATGGTGCAGATCCCACAGTGAGTGCAGGGCTGGGGATCATGCTAAAGTTCTCCTCCTCTAAAGCATATGGGCCAAGGCTCTGACAGGAAAAATGGCTCTTTATGCTCCTGCTGCTCTCTGGATCCAGCTCTTGCCTCCTCCACATTTTCAAACTGCACTGTAAATATACCAACCTCTCTCTGCAGGCTCCCGAGGACATGTTCTTTCAGGTTTTACTCCCAAATGTCATCACCTGTCTTTATAAACTTTTTCTTCATTGTTGAAAACTTTCTATTCATGGAGTGTGAGTACAGGTTATTGTCTTTAAAACACTCACCAAACAGATGCCTTCCCTTGCAATTAGAGAAAGAAATCCCTCTCATTTGCACAAAATTGGGTCTTTTTCTCCAATGGATCACTTAGGATATTATATCTGAAAATACTTAATTCTCTGGTTAATTCTCACATGTAACTGCCTTGCTAACCTATCAGGAATATTACTATCTTACTCTACCACAATCAGGTTTGGGAAAAACCCCAAAGACTTAGCATCATCCTAGATCAAGTGTCCCTTTGTCCTTCATTCTTACCCACTGTCTACATCTCTTCTTTTACCAAACCGTAATTCTTCAGGTCCATTCTCACTAATCCCAAGACTAAACTCAAATATGCTGAGTCCATGTCAAAGTATGCGCTAAATTCCACAAGTGGACACAGTCTGGGCTAGAGATTCACTCAGTGGTCAAACATCTGCCCAGTGTACACAAACACACACACACACACACACACACACACACCTTACCAATATGAGGAACTCCTCTCTTGAATGAATTAAACATGTTGAACTTTTAAAATCAAACCAAAGTTATTTCCTCTGAAACATGCCATTTATCTTGTGTATACCTGAACATTTTGATATTTCGGTTCACAGTGTAGCCAATTAATCACATGCTTTCTTTCTCCTTCTCGGTGAATGTGTAAATGGGAAAAAATTTTAAGACTTTTCTGTCAGTCCCAATTGCCACTGCACCCCCAATTCTCTCTCTTAAAAACACACACATTTTACCTAGCCACATGAAAGTTCATAAAAAATCTATTGACACATGCTCCACAAAATCTCAGAAATTAAAATTTAAATCATTTAAATCATTAAAATAAATTCAAAATGTTATTAGAAGATTCACATAATACACCATCACCTTTCTTTTCAAGCTTTATTATAGTATCCTCAGTTTCAGCTTGTTTTTTTCTATATAAGATTTTCAAATCTTCTAGTTCATTATTCTTTCTTTCTAAAATCTGCAAAAAGAATGTACAGTACCTTAGTTTCCAGAATTAAGTATAGTGTATATAATTACAAGTGAGCAAAGTATGTTTCCAGTCTATCAATCTCATAATTGCTTTCACCTAAATAGAAAAATTACTTTGTATACACTGATAAAAATATTAACACACTAGAATAAATTATTTTAAAACCCTTTGTTTAGAATTTCCACACATAATTTTTAAAAGACTATGAACAATGAACTACATGAATCCCTAAAACATGCTTTGGAAATTCAGTTGTCATAAGGGGGCTGGAAGAAGTCATCAGAAACGGGCTCTGTTGGGTGGCACACCCCACTGCACTACACTGGGATGTAACACTTCTGGCTGAACATATCCAGGGATCCTCCTACCAGTGTCCTTCTCCTCTTCCACTGCTTAAATCCAAGACCTCCCAGACATATGGAAGGATGATACACAACAGGCACCACTTCTGCCTAGCTCTGTTTTATGAATCAAGAAAAAAATGAACTCAAAATCCCAAAAACTTAATAACTTTTACAGCAATTACATTTACCAGTTTTTTCACATAACCACTTAATAAATGTAACTATGAGTTTACAATTATAAAAAATTTAAAAAACAGAAATAACCAAAATTGTAGAGTTAATAAACAGTAAAACCATGTTACCCAGGAGCTCAAAAGAAAAGCAGAGAGGTGGAAGATGGTCTGGCTACTGTTCTTACAATGCAGCGATAGCCACACCCTCAACTGAGTTCAAGAAAGGTTGCTCAACAGTGCCAAAGGAGGTCTTCCGAGCGTTTTCATCAGCAGCATTCTGCTTTACCTTTCATGCTTCAGTCTCAGCCCCATGGCTGCTGGACCACATCCCCACAAACCATGAGCCAAAATAACGTTCCCCTTCTTCCTGTGCTGCCTTTTCTCAGGCGTTTGGTATTAGTGGTATGGGATGAATGAATTAATAACTTGGTACCAAGCAGTGAGGTCACTGCTGTGATAAGCCTGACCATGTGGTTCTGAAGCATTTGGAACTGGTTCAGAGGCGGGAAAGGGAGACTTGAGAGCTTCAGGCTACATGAAGCCTAAAATACCAAAAGCAGAGCTGAGTAACTAAGCTCTTCTGGCTCAAGTGTGGGATACTAGAATGCCAATAAAAAATAGAGACAGTAAAGGACAGTCTGATGTTGTATCAGGAGTCATGACTCTCTCAGAAACTGGGTTAGACGCCATTCAAAGAATTTGGCTGCATTCTGCTCTTACCCTGAAACTACATGAAGCTTAACTAAAAAGTCATAGACAAAAGAAAATTGAGAGCAAAACTAACCCAGGATGTGGCACAGTTATTACTTACTGTCTTAGTCAGGTTTACAGAGAATGAGAGCAGAAAGAAATGTATAGTTTGTAAGAAAAAGTTTGAATCCAGTTAAAGTTGTGTGCATTTGTTGTGTGTATTTGTTGAAGAGAATGGCATTTAAAAAGATGTCACAGGTTTAGTACTGGAACAAGAGGGAAGGAGCCAGGGAGCTTAAGACTTTACATGTCCAGCAGGGTTACAGAGCAATACCAAATCACCTAAAGCTTTTCATTTGAAAAGACTGGCTAAACAAAGAGTGCCAGCAGGGGCCCTGCTCAAGCAGGGTTACCTAACACAGTGGTTTTTGGTTTTTGGTTTTTTACCAGGTTCAACCTCAAAGATACAAGAGGCATGAAGACATGATGTTGCCCATGTAGTACAGATTTTGCAACTATGAAAAATGAGGAGGTAACACAAATTCTAGAAAGTCACTGAGACCAGGCAATGGCCCAGGAGAGAGACCATCTGTGTTACAGGCAGCTGAGCTGGAGAAGCCAAGCCAAGCTATGGCCACTGGAGCCCATAGGATACTACCACAAGCCCCACATGCCTGACATGGTATTTTCCATGAGTTTCATTGTTACCTTGGTCTGGTCTTTAATTTCTATTCTCCCTTTCTCCCCTTTGGGAATGTAAATGGTTTACATCATGCCATTACATGCTGGAAACAAAACTTTTTTAAGTTAAGAAGGGCTCACATTGAAAGGAGAACATTGAGTCTCAGAGAGACATAGCCTTTGTTCTTTTGAAGAACACTGGAACTGTAAGACTATGGAATCTTTGGAAGCTTAACTGAATGCGTTTTGAATTTTGAGATGGCCATGCTCCTGCAGGGCCCAGGGTGGAATGTTTGGTTTGGATATAAAATACCATCCACAGGCAGAGGTATTTGAACGGTTAGTTCCCAGCTGGTAGGACTATTTTGAGATACTGTGGAGACCGGGCCTCAGTGGAGGAAGTGGGGCTTTGGGTGTCATTGAGGTTTTATAACCCAGCCTCATATCTTGTTCTGTCTTCTTCCCATTCCACAAACATGAAGCAATCAGCTGCTGCAAAACCCTCTGCCATTGAGATGCATTCCCCCTAACTTTCTCCATCATGGTAGAGTGTATCCTCTAAACCTATAAGCCAAAAGAAAGCCTTTCTTCCATATGTTTCTTGTCAAGGACTAGTCATGATGCTGAGAAAGGTATTTGACACACATACCAAGAAACTTATTTCAATCTCTTATCACCATGATTCTTTCAAACATTTTTCAAATTCACTTATCCTATACATTAATATGTTATTCCTTAAGAGATTCTATTCATTTTGATATATTATGCTATAATTACATTACATAAATTTATTTAATATTTTTATTTAAACAAAGGTAAAATGTTCATTACAGCAAGAATATTGTGTTTATAATTTAAATGGGGAAGAGAAAGGAAAATAAAAACATTTTTAAAAATATATAAGGAGTCGTTTCCTTCTTGTTGCTTAGAAAAAAATATGAAGGATGAAAAGATGGGTAAAGTGCTTGTTACACAAGCATGGGGATCTGAGTTCAGATCTCCAACACACATGAAAAGCAGACATGGCAGCATTCACCTAAATCCAGTGCTACAGAATCAGAGAAAGGCAGATCCAAGCCAGTGAAGAGGGCTATTTCCTGGTGAGCTAGTCTAGCTAAAGGGTAAGCTCCAGGTTCAGTAAAAGACTCTGCCTCAGAAAAATGAGTTGGAAAAAAATAGAGAAAGACATACAAAGTGGGCCTCTAGTCTCCACAGATGCATGCAATGGCAATCTCATGCTTATGCATGTTATACGCATACACACACACACACACACACACACACACAGAGTCAAATCTAGACTATTTTCTGTTTCAGAGATGCTTGTATGCATGATCCTGTAGCCTCAGTTTTCTGACTCTGCCCCTACTTTGTTTCCCTATGTTTGATTTTTGAGACAGGGTCCCTCTTTCAGGAACCAGGCAAGACTGGCAGTGCAGACTAGTCTGGTGGTTCATGCCAGCTACTCTACAGACCAAGGCAAGAGGCTGATAATAACTTCATTGTCTGCCTGAACTACAGATGTGTATAAAAACAGCCTGAGACCCCAGTGCCGGAATTATTATGCCCAGCTGATTCTGTCTTTGTTATTCAGTTTGGGTAAGTATATACAGGCCTAGTTTTAAAAGAATATGTGTAAACTTTCTATGTGTACAAACTTTATGTTTTTTAAAACACATATCATTTTTAATAAAACACTAACATTTTTAATAATTATAAAAATGTAGCATGAACTACACTAGCTGATGTTTGCTGAGACACTGGGGAAGATACAACCCAACCGCTTGGAATGATCAAAGTAAGCTTAAGGCCAGGCTGGATACTTGGTGAAATACTGTTCCAAATTAAAAACATTTTTAAATGGGTAGAAAGTTAGTTCAGCAGTGGTGCGGTACTTCCCTCACATTTAAGAATCCTTGGTTCCAAATCCAGTAACACGCATAAGTAAATAAATAGGCAAACTAAAAAACTGGAAAGCACAATCTGAGTTGTACTCAGAAAGGAAGCCTTGATTATCAGTGCTAGCATTACACTGCATACAGTCAATACCACAGAACTAAGTCCGAAAACTGTTGGTTCTTTTTTTTGTGTTTGTTTGTTTGTTTGTTTGTTTGTTTGTTTTGGCAATTACAGGCCACCAGGAAAATGACCCTTACTTGAAATCAAAGCTCTACTGTATAGACATCTGGGTCTTCCCTCTGAGGGATCCAATAGTTCTTTTTGAACCTAAGCACTCAGGACGCCTAGGTAGGAGAATCTCAAGTTTGAAACCAGATGGGTAAACAATGTGATCTCAAATATAACTAATTAATTAAAAAATGGAAATGAATCAGAAAAGTGGAACAATTGGGATATAACAAATTGTAGGATTTACAGTTGTTATTTTACTTCAGATTTCATGAAAGGCACAAAACCTGATGTTTGAGCTTCAGGTTTGAGCCAAGCAGAGAGGATGATGAGGACAGTGCCAGGCTGAGTAATTTAGTGAGGTCCTGCTTTAAAATAGCTCACTGGTAGGGTATTTTCTGACCCTAGTTTCTTCAGACACACAGACACACACACACACACAGAGAGAGAGAGAGAGAGAGAGAGAGAGATGCAAAAATCATATGTGTTAAAAAGTATATAAAACTCAGCCTTAAGATTATTGTTGAAGAAGTAATAGGTAATGTAAAAATAGGACAGAAATAGACACATTTTACAAATAAAGCTTACAGGTTGCTTTTGATGGGATTTTACTTCAACAAATTCCATTTACAAGATACAGTATTATCAATCACCTAATCTGTAGACAGATGGCCAGATGCTTGGTCTATCACAGGCCCCAGAACACAGTAAATACTGCATACAACGTAAGTATATATACCCTACCTTCTGTACATCAGCATCATGTTTCTGTTGCAGCTTAAGTTTTTCTTCATATAACTTTGCTTCCATCATTTTTGTTTTCATGTCCAACTTCAAGGGAAATATTTTAAAGATTACCAAAAAGTCATTTGATAGTGGTATCCTGCTCTGACATTCAAACCCACACAGTATTTTGATCTCTAGTATTTTCATTTCAATAAATCTCTTCTAAAACTTTTTTCTTTGTTCATATCTATTTGCTTATTTCAAAATACTATTAGTCTATTTGTTTAAATATGGCATTTCATGAAAGAATATTCATATAAATGGCACATTACTGTATCGAGGCAGCTCAGTTAGTAAAGTGCTTGCTATACAAGCATGTCCCATATTAGAAACAACAACAACAATCAATCCAGGCATGGTGGTGCACACTTGTCATCCCAGCTCTGGGAAAGCAGAGACAAGAGGATCCCTGAAGCTTGCTGGCCAACAGTCTAGCCTACTTAGTAAGTTATAGTCCAATAAAACTGTTTGCTCATTTCAAACAGGAATGAAAACAAAGCAAACAAATAATACTGGAAATTAAATTTTCAGTAACTCAAATAAAAACCTCAGTAAAAATCCTGACCAATAGAATGGGTCACATGGAAAACAGTGGTCAGACATAATAAGTCAAAGGATATGGATCATTCGTTAAGGCAAACAATACATTTAAATGTAGATAAAAGAATAAAATATAGTGGCTCTTTGAGACAGTGTAAAAAGACCAAATTTATGAATTATGTGCACAGAAGAGGAAAAGTCCCATGTTAAAGACACAGAAAATATTTACAATAAGGTAATGGAAGAAAATTGCCCAATCCTAGGAAAATAGATGGCTATCCAGATAAAAGAGGCATACAGAACACAAAATAGGCAGAACCAGAAAAAAAGAAATTCCTCACATTATACTAGAGTCAAAACACTAAAAATTTAGAAAAAAAGAAAAAGCGTATTGAACGTGGCAAGAATGAAGGACCACGTCACATGTACAGGCAGGCCTATCAGAGTGACAGTATTTTTTAATGCAAACTCGAAATGCTCGAAGGGCACAAAACAATGTGTTTCAAGTTCTGAAAAGACCCCCAATTGCCAACCCAGGTACTACATGCAACAGAACTGTCACAATGTTAGGAAAAAGAAAAAAAAAAAACTTTCCATGACAAAAGTAGGCTAAAGCAATCTATGACCACTAGGGCAACGCTACAGTAGAGAAGGGAAGAGAATGATAAACACATCCAAAAAGCCATATTGAGAAAAAAGATAATTGTCAACAAAATGAGGGCTTCAAAACCATCTAACACTATAAAACCAACAAAATGACAGGAACTGAATTAATATACACCTTTCAATAGCAATTCTGAATAGCAATGGATTAGTCTCTCCAATGAACAGGCACAGAATAGCTGATTGGATTAGAAAGCATGATTCCTCTTTTTGCTGTATCCAAGAAACATACCTCACAAACAAAAGATAGATACTTCAGCGTGAAAGAACGGGAAAGGGTATTTTAAGAAAATGGTACCAGGAAACAAGTGGGTGTAGGGATTCTGATACCTGACAAAATTGTTGTCAAACCAACTCTACTCAGAAGAAATAACAATTCATCAAGAAAACATTACAATTCTAAGCATATTAAACTTTACACTGGTGACACAATTCCATAAAACAAATATTATGAGATTTAAAGTCACAGATTTACACCAATACAGTAACAGCAAGTGGCTTTACTACCCTATTCTCATCTAGGCAAAAATCCAACATCAGAGATAAATGACACCACAGATAAAATGAACTAATAGACTACAGAGCATTTCACTCAAACACTACAGAATATACATTCTTCCCAACAGTCCACATGACTCATTCTAAAACTGATCTTGCACTGGTACACGAAGCTAGTCTCAACAAACAGGAAGATTGAAATAACTTTCTGTATTCTATCGGACCATGGACTGAAACTAGGAATCAAACTAGGAAACAAACTCAAGGAGACTAAACAGCACACTACTGAATAATGACTGGGTCACTGAAGAAAGCAAAAGAACTGAATAAAAACTCACACATCATTCTAAAGCCTGTAAGATACAATGAAGGCAGTCCTTTAGCTCAAAGTCTTCCTGTGACAAAACCAGGAGGGATCTCACACCCACCAGCACGAAGCATCTCAAGGCACAGGGAGAAGTAAAACAACCCAGGTCTAAACCCAATGAATAGAAATAATTAAGATCAGGACACAAATCAATGAAATAGAAACAAATAAATAATTTAAAAATGAATGAAGAATTGGTGCTTTGAAAAAACAAACAAGATTGACAAACCTTTCACCAAATCAATAAGAGAGAAATGACTAAAAACTGTAAGATACAGAGGCAGATTACGATAGATAGTAATGAAATATAGAAAATCTTAATATATTCAACAAACCTATTGTACCAAATTAGAAATATAAAAGGGTGAAATTCTAGATAGGACCTACCAAAATTAAACAAAAAAGATAAAAATGTAATAATAGCCATAGCAAGCAACATGATTAAAGTAGAAAAAAAGCATGCGAGCTAAAACAATAATAATAATAATGTGCAAAGTTGGCTCTAAATTAGCATATGAGTTAATGGAAGAGACCAGGAATGTGATATAATCCCATACAACCACAGCCCATTTGATTCTCTACATAGAGATCAGCACTATACCCAGGAGGTTTGTGAGCCAACTTTCCTAAGCAAGTTGCCTCGTTCCTTTGCCTTCCCTTCCCCCCACCCGCCTAGTTCCAGACTGCAGCCCAGAAAAATTCTTTGTTCCTGAAACACCTGTGCTGGGTAAGTCACCTCTCCTTCCCATGGTGCCCATCCTTGCCCATTACCTCCCCTTGCGTGTGGCATTCTCTACACCCACAGACCTAGGTGCAGATAACGACCCCCAAACCTACTGACCCTCCTTCTGCTAGCACTCTTCCTCTGCCCACTGCCATCTCAGCACCACAGGCCTGGCTCCAGGCCCATGGTTTTAGAGTCACCTTTCTCTGCTTCAATTAAATAGCTCATCCACCAACTTTACCTGGTCTAGCTCAAATCATGCATCTCCTGCACTGGCTCAGTCTAAGAAAAGGCAGATTACCACATCCATCAGACACACAACTACAGAAAGAAGTCCACATGCCCAGATCAAAACACTAACACAAAAACCGCCCGTGTCACCAGACAGCATGTATCCCATCAAACCCAACAGTCCTATAGAAGTGTTCTACAATGAGAACTACCTAGATGAACCCCAGGACAGAGAATGTAAAAGAACAATCAAACCTTATCAAGACATTTAAAGAAGAGACAAGCAAATACTTCCCTGAACTCTAAGAGGGTAACAATAAACACTTGAGTAATGGCCAAGATTATACAGATAGACTGCTGAATGAAATGACCAAGGTAATTCAGGATTTGAAAAGTAAATAGAGATAGAAACACTGAGGATAACACAAGCTAAAATGAAGATGGAATTGAAAAACTCAATATTCTAATTAGGAAACTCAGATGAAGCCTTATAATTAGAGTGAATCAAACAAGAAAGTAACATCCTGGGACTCAAAGACAAAGGGAAAGATATAGACAAAATAGCAAGAAGTATGAAAAAGATGCAGGAAATACAGGACACCATCAAAACAGCAAATATATGAGTTATGGGCATAGATGAAGGGCAAGAATCACAGGTCAATGGCACAGACTAGACTTTTAACAGGATCATAGCAGCAGAAAGTGCTCCTAACCACTGAGCCATCTATCTCTCCAGCCCTTGGGAAACGTGTTTATAGTTTAGCAGGGAAGGAAACAAAAATTACAAACTAGAACTCCAATACTTGAACAGGGTAACAAATAACTAGATAAGCTTCACAAATTTGAGATAGCAGTGAAGAATTCTGCTTATTTCATGACAGAGTAAGAGAAAGAATCTAAACACCTGAGAAGCAGGAAAACTGGTTAAAATAATAAGGGTGAATAAATACGTAACTGGAGGATCTATGCAAGAGACCATGAGTGGGGAAGGAAAATGAAACAGCCAAAATGTCACGTTTGAGCTTTTAAAAGACCTGACTTAAACCGGCATGGATGCCCATGCCTATAACTCCAGCACTTTCAAGGCTGAGCAGGAGAATAATCAGCTCATTCCAATCAAGAAAAGCAGATACTAGTCAAGTAAGTAACATCTCAGATACTGAAGGGATACTAGAACAGCCATGTGGCAAGTCACTAGGAGCCCTCTAAACGGTGACCTTGAGAATGAAAGAAACTGAGGCCACAGGCAACCTCAGGTCTGCAGGGATGAAGCCTGCAGGAAAAGTGAGTAAGTGGAGAACGCAAAAAGACAGTTTTTCTCTTCTCACATTTCCAGAAAAGAAAACTGCACAATTAAAACAAATAAGCACAGTGAAAAGTGGGTTTGGATTTGGAAAAAAACATAGCAAAAGCACAAATGAAGATGGTGACTTGTTCGTCCTCTCTCCATCCTCATCCTACTGCCCTCTTTCCTCTAAGTAACTACAAATACAGAACACAAAACACATGTACCCCAAATAACAGAAGACATAGCTTGAAAAGAATGAATACCTACAAAGTTTGTTTAATTTGTTGATAAAATACTAAATTAATAAAGTCACATGAAATAACTAAAATATGATGGCTAAAAACATTGCCTCTTTGTGCTGTTCAGTTGAGCCTTTAAAATAATGGTGAAAACCTGTAATCCCAGCACCCAGAAGGCAGAGGACCCCAGCAAGCTCAAGACTAGCATGCTCTACACAGTGTGTTCCAGACTAGCCAGGACTACACAGCAAGACATTTCTCAATCATTCAGTTTCAGAAGATCAGTATAAAGGTACAATGGAAGGTGGACATACTTAACCACTACAAGCCATTTATCCCAAGATTTAAGTTACTTATAAAATCAGCAGGAACTCCATTACGATGGAAGATAAGTGTTGAAAAGACAAGGTAGAATTAGGACAAGCCTACAAAAACTTTTAAAAAGCAGACTGAGATGGAGCTACAGAGGGAAAATGATATAATGGCATTGATTGC